ACCATTGTCACCGTGTTCGTGACGCCACTGCCATTGTCACCACGGGATGACGCCACCAACGTATAGAGTTTTCGGAGCAAGTACCGGCAGCTGAGAGAATTAATCCCCTGTAACATTTTTTTACACGCTAACCAATGGCGGTAAATTAATTAACGTATTTATACGTCACCGAAATGTATATCCCTTTGTTGCCCAGAGACATAAAAACAGGTGATCCGAAATGATGCATTTGAAATGAACGCAGCAGAACAAGGCGTTGCTTTCTTGTTGCAATTTGAGTGACTCGTTAGTTTCAAAGGGATGGCTGCCGGAGGCCAGAGTGTATTTTAACTATTAGCGTTTGTTGACGTTTCGCTCTAAACTGCAAAATCACGTTTTCGTTCTCATCCACAGATTGCAGTAATCCATTCTCATCTGTGATACGCCTTCGAGATGTCAGACGACGCCACCCAGGGTGCCCCGGGCAGCCGACAACCCCCCGCGGAAAAGCACGGCCCGTCCCGGCTGCCGGGGAAAAAGAGTTTGGCGTTTTCGATAGACAGCATCATGGGCAGGGGTCCGAGTGGGCCGTCTCATTCGAGCAGCCCGACCCCGCCCACACCGTCGGCCACGCCTCCATCGACGGGGCTCGCGGGCGTGGTCGAAAGAGGTGTTGTCAGACACGTCACGGGCTACCAGACGACCGCGCCACCAAGTCCGGCCTCCGACTTTAGTGACTCCAATACACACCGGAGTCGGAGAGCGTCTTCCAAACTGACGGTAGTCACCCAGTCCTATCATGGTCAAAGGTCACTGCCCGTGAATTCGTGCCGAGCGTCCCCACAGAGCATTGACTTAACGTCCTCAACAAGTCCAGGATACAGAAACGTCTCCTCGCGACATTCTGACCAGCCAACAAAGTCGCATTCCCCGGCGTCCAGCACATCCCCACGACGGACGCCCACTCAGTCTAACCGTTGCTATGACTACCCGAACAAAGCCCCGAACATGTCGTTGCCGTATCCCTCCAAAGAGTCAACGACGCACGCGTTTGTCCAGTACACCAGAGACATGTACGCAGCCGGGCTGCACGACCCGTCCCGGTGCCAGACCATGATGACAAACATTTCCAGTGGCTTCGCTGGCCTCCATCCTGGTTTGACGCGGGACATCGGCCACATGTATCCCGTCTTCCACCAGGCGTTCGTCGGGGCCATCCCAAGGGCGACAAGCCTGGAAGACTACCAAGCACAGCTGCTGAGGAGTTATCCCCTGATTAACCCCGGCCTCCTGTCTCACCTCGGTACGGGCCAGCTTCCGAACGTCCCGTTGAACATTTTCGAAACTATGAAGCACTCCCCGCTGTACCAAAATGCTCTCAGAACTACCAGCAACAACAACATCACAACCATGAACAACAACATGTCCTGCTCACCACCCACTGTTATAGACCACCAGAGCATCACCAAATCCAGCCAGAGGTTGAGTGACGCGGCCTGCAAACAGCTCAGCCCGGGCTCGTCCTGCAGCACGCCGGGAAGTTTCACAATTCCAAAACCTCTCGAGCAAAGAGGGGGCTCGTACGATTCCCAGAGCTCCGACTCAAGCCACAACGATATATCCGTAAAAACAGAAGACAGTATCGAAGCAGACGATCAGTGCGTGGACTTGTCTTCGCCCAACAGTTCGATAACCAGCTGCAGCAACGATGAGTCAAAATCAAAGAAACTTTTGGGGAAATCCCAGAAATCGTTCACTTGCCCCGAATGCGGAAAGGTGTTTAATGCCCACTATAATCTTACCCGTCACATGCCCGTCCACACGGGGGCCAGGCCGTTCGTTTGCAAAGTTTGCGGGAAAGGATTCAGACAAGCCAGTACGTTGTGCAGGCATAAGATTATCCACACGTCCGAAAAACCGCACAAGTGTGGCACGTGCGGTAAGGCGTTCAACCGCAGCTCCACGCTCAACACCCACATGCGGATCCACCAGGGCTACAAGCCGTACGTGTGTGAATTCTGCGGGAAGGGCTTCCACCAGAAAGGCAACTACAAGAACCACAAACTGACACACAGTGCAGAAAAACAGTATAAGTGCAGCGTCTGCTCCAAGGCCTTTCACCAGATTTACAACCTCACCTTCCACATGCACACGCACAACGATAAAAAGCCCTATACTTGCCACGTATGCGGGAAAGGCTTCTGCCGGAACTTCGACCTGAAGAAGCACATGAGGAAGCTCCACGACGGCGCGCAGATGAGCAGTTCCGGAAGCACGTCGGACCCACACAGCCCCCAGCCGAGCCTCAACCAGCCTTCCCACCAGAACCTTGCGTCGTCGCACGGACATATGTTTCCTGTTCAAGGGGGCTTCGGGCCGACAGCTTTCCTGGCGAGGCCGCCCTTGTTCAATCATCAAGCTCTAGCCTGCCAGAGGCGTCTCCTTTCACCTTATATGGTGGGACCAAACGCCGCAAGCCTCTTGCACAAGATCTCTTCAATGATTTAATCTGTCCAAAGTCTGTACTTCCACCAGAAGATTCAGTCAAGTTTTTGTTTGGCTTTGGGGCGTGGCGGGGGGGGGGAGGGGGGGTTGGAATTTCCAATTTGGATAAGGACTCCAAACGCCGCAAGCCTCTTGCACAAGATCTCTTCAATGATTTAATCTGTCCAAAGTCTGTACTTCCACCAGAAGATTCAGTCAAGTTTTTGTTTGGCTTTGGGGCGTGGCGGGGGGGGGGGGGGGGGGCTGGAATTTCCAATTTGGATAAGGACAATAAAAAATGTATCGATATTTTAAGAGAAATTATCGAATAAGGAATAAGATGTTAAGTTGATTTTTTAAAAAGAAAATTTTTTTGAAGAGAAAAAGGAATTGTATGCAATAATTTAGGTCGCATTAGAGCGGTGTAGGAATATAGTGGTATCGAGTCTTGTATTTAAGCGGGAAATTTAATTCATTTTACAAATATTGACGATAAAAGTTCGAATTTTAGTATTAGTTATTTAATGTTGAATCGCAACGTATATTTTGTTAAGATTTGTGAATGAATTATAGGTGTAGATGTGGTGACATTATGAATTGTAAAGGGGACTTGTGTGTAGATGTGGTGACCTCATGAATTGTAAAGGTGACTTGTGTGTAGATGTGGTGACATCATGAATTGTAAAGGTGACTTGTGTGTAGATGTGGTGACATCATGAATTGTAAAGGTGACTTGTGTGCAGTTGTGGTGACCTCATGAATTGTAAAGGTGACGTTTGTGCAGATGTGGTGACCTCATGAATTGTAAAATTAACGTGTTTGTAGATGTGGTGACATCATGAATTGTAAATGTGACTCGTGTACAGATGTGGAGACATCATGATGGTAAATGTGACGTGTGTGTGTATGTGATGTAAAGATTGAAAAAAAAGAGATATTTCAAGTAAGTATTACCTGACCCAAAGATGTCAGCATCTGAAAACACCACAGCGATGTTGGACCAATGTAGACATTGAATTATGCCGAATTTGTATGCTGAGATATAGAGGAAGAATGAAAGAGAGAGAGTAATGGGAAAAATTAAAGGGAGAGAGATAGGCAAGGATGAGAGACAGAGAAAGAGTGGGGGGTAGCTAGCTTATCAAGTTAATGAGAGAAAGAGGGGGGCGGAGGAGAGAACGATCGAGCGAGAGAGATGCGGTGTAAAAAGGATGAATCAAGACATATTGTGTCCCTGATAGTGTTAGAAACATCTAAGGAATATCTCCACCAATCATAAGACACAGTAGAAGTTTCAATCTGACTCCTGAGGTCAGAAGTGAAACATCTCTCTTTGTTAATGAAGCTCCACTGGCTTTGTTTGTTGGCTTAAATATTTTGTTTTTTTTTAAGTTTATGATATAAAAGCCCATTTTGCTTGTGTATATATTAATGAGGGTTTAAGACATGCAATAAATAAATTGAGTTATGATTATCATAAATAAATAAATATATTTATGAAACACTGGACAATTTATTATTAAAATGTGAATTAAATAATAATAAATTACATAAATCTATATCAAATATCCTGGACACATTTTGTTGCGTTATATTTAAATTAATTGAATTATGACGTAATCAATTTTTGTTGTGAGTTCCGGTAACGTACATCTCTCTTTAGGTTTGTTTAAAAAAAAAACAAATGCATTCAAAGATAACTTTATGACGTGGGCATGACCCGCAAGCTATGTTGAGTTCAAGAATACGGCTTCGGTATCAGTTCATAAATATATAATAATAATAAGGTGTATTTGAAAATCACGCTTCATCCACAAAGGCTCGAAGCGCGGTACAGAGTCAACCATATTAAAAGAGAAATGAAACAATCTATATTTTACCGCAACAAAATACAAAACGCAACATTACAAAAACTATATACGAGAAAACCCATTCAAAGTCTCTCACACCTTGAAACCAAAAACAACACAGGCTAATATACATCTAGGAGATAATAGCGAGCTGGAAAAGATGGTAGACAACATCAGACTAGCAGGTGTTTGCGAAATGGATGTGTTTTCAGATATCCAATTTAAACAAAGCCAACCCATATCACTGGAACAATGTTGCACTGGAGCAGTGGCGTAACCAGGGTTAGGGCAAACTGTGCCAGGACAACATTATTTTTAAAAAATAATAAATAATTATAACTCCAGTTGGCCGCAAATGACCATCCTCAGCACACCCCCACTTCAGCACAACACAACCTCAGCACACCACCACCTCAGCACACCACCCCCTCAGCATACCACCACCTCAGCACATCACTACATCGCGCACAACCCCACCTCAGCAGACCCTNAACATGGACTTGATAAGAATCCCACTTCCGTTGCGGCACACACTGAAACCTGCGCAGTGGAGTAGTTTGTCTTTGTGACTTCCGGTGTGTTTGTTTTGGGCCCTTAATTAACGCTAACCCCAATGCACGCGGAATATACATTTGACAAACAAACAAACAACTGCATCAAGTTTTTCAAGCCAACTCCAAATAATTACCGCCCCAACAACAGACAGACACACACACACAAAAACCATTTAGATTTAACATTTACAGTTGTTTTTGTTTTGTTTTTGTGGGGGGGGGGGGCTGACAAAATTATTTTCTCTAAAATTAAAATCTAGCCCAACAAAATCGATTAACTGGGAACGTCACGGACAAGGGATTGCTCGAGCAGAAACCACTGAGAAATGTTCAACTCTGGGACCTGCCTTGCCAAGGCTGGAGTCATTAAAACAATTCCAGGTCTTGTGTGGCAATTTTCGACCCTTACTGCTGTTGTATGTGGTCCTGACTGTAGCACTAGCAAACGACCCTGACAGATGAAACTGGACAAACTCTACTTGGCTTGAACGAGACATTAATTTATGTCCATTTGAGGACCGCTGACATTTAAACTAGTCATTCATTTCTTTGACGGTATTCATTTTTTTTTTTAAATATTAAGATTACTATTTTTTAGCTACTGTGAAGGGAGTAGAGCCCGGGTCAGACACTAGTCATTCATTTCTTTGACGGTATTCATTTTTTTTTTTTTAAATATTAAGTTTACTTTTTTTTATTTTCTGTGAAGGGAGAAGAGCCCGGGTCAGACATTAGTCATTCATTTCTTTGACGGTATTCATTTTTTTTTTTTTTTTTTTTAAATATTAGGATTACTATTTTTTAGCTACTGTGAAGGGAGTAGAGGCCGGGTCAGACACTAGTCATTCATTTCTTTGACGGTATTTTTTTTTTTTTTTTAATATTAAGATTACTATTTTTTAGCTACTGTGAAGGGAGTAGAGCCCGGGTCAGACACTAGTCATTCATTTCTTTGACGGTATTCATTTTTTTTAAAAAATCGGTTTCTTATGTTTTAATAGTTTCTCGAATTTTATTAAATTCCGTGAGTAGTCGATATTTTGAAACGAATTGATCGGCACGATATTTCTTATTTAAATGTACTTAATTCAAATGAGTAGTCGATATCTTGAAACGATTCCATTTGCACGATATTTCATATTTAAATGTATTTGGACCGGGTGGAGAGTTATGCATCACCTCGACTGTTTGACTTTAAGAGTTAGTGAGTTTAAGCCTGAAGCAGGAGACATGTTGAAACGCGTACGACTACAACACAAGCCCCACAGGTAACAACTAACGGAAATCAGGAGAAACATGACACCTTTTGTAAATTAAGCACCTACTACCCCAGCCGTCCGATTACCTCTCTGCTTAACGTGGACCCTGGCCACCTGACCAGAAAAATACCACCCAGTGGGTGTGACGTAAGCGATCCACAGTGTGGCTTCTTCCAAACAACGGTGTTCTGCATTGTCCGTGGGCGAAATGACCACGTGACTGACCTGCACCCCCGGCACCGGAGTCGGGAAATTAGTATCACTATTCCTCATCTTCGACTCCAGCTGTTACATATTAAAGAGGATTGTTAGGTTAAATAACTTGGAGGGTTGTTGTGCTACGTAACATGGAGGACTGTTAATATTTTAGAAATGGAAAATATGCTAAAAAATGTATATAGTCAAACAACCTGTTGTAGATATTGTTACATTTTCAGTCAATCCAAACACTGAACTTTATTTTGGTTGCTATCATCCGGGGATCTAGGTCAAAAGTTTATAATTTATAAGTAGCCTCGCTTTGAGTCACTGTTGTATCCATGTTGCTTTATGGATATAAAAGAGATAGGACCGCCCGGCGTGACCCCCTCAACACCGTTACAGGCGCCCCTGGAAGGCTTCTGACGCCCCGCGGTACGCTTCTGACGCCTGGTTTTTGTCCAGCAGGAACTGGACTCCGCGGTCCGGTGAGACCGTCCGCACGACGGTCACTCAGTCGGTCATTGTGCAAGTGTCAGAACTCTTTCACTCCAGGCCTGTCGCTCTCGGTCACTACTGGCCAAGACCCAGGTATTAAACGCTGGACATTATTCGTACCTAATCGCAGCTTTAATCCCAAACACCTCTCTGTTCCTGGCAGTTCCACGCGCCACCAGCTCCTGCCAGGGACCTCAACAATGTTCTCTTAATGCGAGATGTAGTCAATTTGAGAAACAAAATGACCATAAAAGTCTATTCAGAAAAGTTGGTCATCCAAGGGAACGACAGGCCGACTTGGGGTGGAATAGACACACTTTGGTGGAATAGACGGAAATGGGGTTGTAATTTAATAGACTTGACTTTGGTGGAAATAGACCGACTTGGGGTAGAACAGACAGGCTTGATGTAGAATAGACAAACTTGGGGTGAAATTGACATACTTAGTGTAGAAGAGACAGACTTGGTGTGGAATAGACAGACTTGGGGTTGAATAGACAGACTTAGGGTGGAATAAAAACATCTGGGATAATGGGCGACATTTCAGTTGTTTTTTAAGGGGGTGGGGGAGTGATGATGATTAGGGGGCAAACCAAAACTTATCCGGTTTGTTATCTTGTTTATTGCTGGAGACGCCAATCATAGTACTTATCAATTTAGATAAGAATTGCCAGATTA